GTGTGTGTGTGTGTGTGTGTGTGTGTGTGTGTGTGTGTGTGTGTGGGTGTCTGTGTGTTCCACAGATGAAAAGAAAGTCATCCAGGTTTAAACAGATTGAATACATTTTCATTTTGGGGTGGACTGTCCCCTTTAAGAGTTTGTGAGACTTTACCCCATATCGACCAATTATATTTTTCTCATATGTGGGGTTCTGAAAGGTTCCATTTTATAAAGCACTTATGATGTCAAGTCCGTTACATTTCAGATTTACTGTCAGGAATGCTCTGAGGAAGAGCAGACGAAGCCATAACTCACTGAGGACCCCCTTCTGTGAGACAGTGTGAAATGGATCAAGCTTGGGTGGAACACCTCTAGACAATCAGGCCACAAACAATCTGACTTCCTCTAATATGACATCATCTTGTCTAGACACGCACACAAGTGTGGTATCTGAAGGGAGTGGTAATACAAAAAAAACGTTTGCGTAATCAATGTATTATTACTGTTTTAATGTTACATATACATTTGCTCAGTTGCTTTATTCAGAAAACACACACACACACACACACACAATTAACATATGTAAATAAATGAAATATATTTAATCAAATTTAATCAAATATTTAAATTACTATTTAGGGTATAAATATTTTAAACAATTGCACTTTTATAGCTTTTATTTTATGTTTAAATTTAACCACTTCAGCATACTCTTAAACCCCTTTAGATTATATGATGTTAAATAAATCTAAAATTAAAAGAATTTATTTAAAAAAAAAATGTTTTAATAAAATATTTTGTCAGACATTTTAGGTCCATTCAGCTAACAGATCTCTAGTTCATTAAAATCATATTACGTTTATTCTCTTGACGATTCTTAATTGCATCCAAGAGAGTCCAAACTGGATTTAATGATTGAAATAAGGGTCTAAATGCACCTGTACTGTTTCCAGTTGTAACTGCTTCAGAGATTTCCAAATGATTTTTAAATCCATGGCAATCAGTTTTAAAACACCAGTATTTAACATCCTGTCAGACTGCTCTGTCTGGCACAATATGTGGAAGCAGAATGGAGAGACAACCTAGCCAAATGGCACAAATACTTGGAAACACTGCCTTTGAATAAATACACTCTTGCCAATATAGAGTGCAACAAGGGCAAGCCTGTGGAACTTTCCAAGTTAATTTTTTTAATCTTTCCAAACATATTATTTTAAAACATCGAGATTTTTAAAATGAGTTTTAATTAAGAATAGCAAACTGAACATTGTCTGTTCTCTCAAGTACATCTGTAGATATTTAGGTTCGAAAACAGTGCACATCAAGAATATGTGCAAAAATGTATTAAATGGGAAGATATGTTACTTCTTAGGTGACAATTTTAAAGTGTCTTTTAGGCTACGTGTTTTTCTTTAAAAAAAAAAAGTAGAGGTTTTTCGTGACTATATTATAGTCCTATTGGACAGTGAAAGCCTAGACAAAACTACTCACCCATTCTACATTCTAAAAAGATTTTTTTTAATGTTAATATATTTTGATATGTTTTAAAATAACTATATTTCTTCAAACCTTTAAATACACATTTAACCAAAACAGCATCTTTTCTGCCGTTTTTGTCTTATAATCTTATGCAACGATGAAAGATTTTACTTTTCGTGATGATTAATGATGATAGCAGCAACTCACCCGCTACTAGAGCGAAGGTTTTGCTCATGCATATTAATCAGACAGCGCCGACGTGTTTAGGAACCTTCCTATGGCGGACGTCTCTCTCTTGGATATTTAATAAGGTAATGGCGACCTTGCTTAATAGTTCTCCAATGGCGAAGGCTTGCTCATGAATATTAATCGACACCCCGTCATAATAGCAGGATTCGGAGTAGCGTGATGGTTTCTGTTTCCGCAATCAAACACACAGCAGCACACATTACAACATGGCTGCAGTAGGCAGCTTAGTGAACAGTTTGGCTTGTCTTTGGAGACAGCAGTGTGCCCGTACTTGTTTACCGCATTTGTTCGTTTGTATTTCGTTTACAGGATCGATTTTGAAAGCGACGGGCCTCGTGCCGGAGAGCTACTTCAGTAACAGCAGAAATGTTTTAAATCTGTGAGTACAAGTCTACTGTAACTATATGGTAGCAACCTTACCTAGAACTTAATTAAACACTGTAAAACTAAATTATTTTAGTTGATAACAATAATATGTTATATAAAAGCAATATGCTTTAAACGATATTAAAAAGCAATGCTTGCCATTGACAACATACTATGACATTGATGTTTGGCTCCAAAGTCATTTAATCGTATTCACTTCCTTTTTTCGTTACTTTCAGATATTTTGTGAAAATTTCTTGGGGATGGACCATTGTTTTACTTCTGCCTTTCATCTTTTACTCCAACCTTTACAACAGAAGCCACACATTTGTGTTGAGGCGGCTGACGTCACTTCTGGTGGCAACATTCATTTGGTACACCTGCACTGGGACTTTTTTCTACATTGAAGATATTACTGGTTCGTGCTATGAGTCAGACACCATGCAAGTTATCCATGGTGACATTACCACAAAGGCAGCGTGCAAGAAGGCCGGATTCATCTGGGATGGATTTGACATATCAGGACACTCCTTCATCTTGACTTACTCTTCTCTTGTGATTGTGGAGGAAATGGTGCCCATGTTACACATACCGCAGAGTGACAGAAACATTCGTCTTGATTGTCTTTATATAGCACTCAATGCGATTGTGGCCATCTGGATATGGATGTTCGGATGCACTTCTGTGTATTTCCATGATATTATTGACAAGGTTATAGGGACGTTGTGTGGGATATTAGGGTGGTACGTGACTTACGTTGTTTGGTACCCAATGCCTTTTTCTCCAGGTCTCCCTCCACAGCAGAAACAACATGCTTAGTGTGAGAACTAAATGCTACAAGTGCACTACAACAAGCTTCACATATCTTTTGTGAGATCAATGACAGATTAGCCATCCAAGTGAGGCGGCAGGCAGCTGGTGTTCCTAAAATGACAATCTGTAATCTGAGAGGTCACATCTGAACCTTATTATTGCCTTCAAACGTTGTGTGGCTTCATACAGAGCTGGAATAGTAAACCTGACAATAACTTTAGCTTATATGGTAGTCTGCTGCTGCTTTCTGTAATCAACCTGCAACCATCAGCTGAGCTGCCTTTTAACATAAACAGTTACTCATGACACTAATATTTTAAATATTTGTAATTGGCCTATTTATTGATTTTAAACAAAATTATGAAATCTGATCAATTTGAGGTCAGAGAATTATAGTGTGATGCATTTGTGTAAATTATATATTTGCATTGTGTTTTAATAGGACCATTTTATGTGTTCTGTTGTTCATTCATACATGCCATTATTAGATTAGTAGTTTGCAGTTGTTGTCTGTCACTGATGAATGTTAAGAGTCTAATCAGTTTGCCAAAGGAAAACTGACACCACCTGTTCTTAGAAACCCAAAAGGATCTAAAATATACTGTTTATAATATTATAAGACTGGATTGATGTTTGAGCGATGCATTCAAATAAATATGTGGCTGGTTATAAGTATTTCTTACAGGTTTGAAGAACAATGCAAATTAGATGTAAATTAATTCTAAAATACAAACGATGGGACATGCTGGTCATGGAGGGCACATCCATTACTCATTTCATGTGTCAATTAAACATGATTTTAGACAATTATCATTGCAATTATGCTTAATACATCAGTATTCCATAGAAAGCATAACGCAACGTTGTTATGAGATATTGTACTGTATGACACAGTGTTCTTGTTAGTATAACAACACATCACTGAGGTGTATTTTTATTTAATACATTATGGTGTTTGAATGAATAAATAGCTTTGAATTGAGGACCTCTAGTAGATGTTTTGATTTTGTTATCTCAAGGTAAGACTGTAAACCAAATTAAAAGGAACAGTTCACCCAAAAATGAAAATGTACTAACTTGCGGGTCATCCAAGATGTAGATGAGTTTGTTTCTTCATTGGAACAAATTGGAACAAATTTAGCATTACATCAGTTGCCTATCGATGGATCCTCTGCAGTCAATGGGTGCCGTCAGAATGAGAGTCCAAACAGCTGATAAAAGCATCACAAGTAATCCACCAGACTGTGGATGCATATTTGTTATAGTCCACTGCTTGTAATAAACAAAGCCATCCTTATAATGATTTCAACTTCAAACCATTGCTTCCAAATAGAGTCCAAATAGAATATGTTCAAATATGGATTTTGATGTGAGAGGACAACAGGCGATGGAAGAACCGTTATTATGGAGTATGGCCTTGTATTTTGGCCTGAAGCTATATGCTTTAATGATGGATTTATTTCTTACAAGCACAAAGCTTTCCGCTTCATACAACGTTTAATGATTGACTGCAGTCATCATGTGGGTTATTGTGATGTTTGTTTTATCAGCTGTTTGGACTCTCATTCTGACGGCACCCATTCACTGCAGAGGATCCATTGATGAGCAAGTGACGGAATGCTAAACTTCTCCAAATCTGTTCAGAAGCAGAAACAAACTCATCTGCATTTTATATATAGTGGGTTTTCAGCAAATTTTCATTTTTGGCTGAACGATTCCTTTAAATATCTAATAAAATATGTTCTACTGTCTTTCATCCTCTTACACTTCTCCCTGTTTTGGTGCTGTGGAAAAATTCTGGATCTCTCTGGACAAATGTTGCAGTAGTTATCACACTTTAATGTGCGTCATGGGGGAAAGGCTGTCCCCCTCTGGTGCCAGCTTGATTGGTACAGTCCGAACCTCAGTCAATGGTGTTTTAAAACCTCGATGCTGCTAGAATGTGCCTTTTATGAGAGCTGCGGTCATTACAGCAGTTCAGCATCATCACCGTTTGTGTGCAGCATCTCAGACAGGTGCGGAGACTCTGAAAACAGACGCAAAGACTTTTTGAAGTAAGCCAAATTAGATTCAAAACTGAGACCATGACCCAGGGAAAGGTAAGCATTTGTATTATTTACACTGCTTTAAGATTGTAACATTTGACTTTAATTGCTGTCTATTAACCAAAAGGAAAGAGTTTTTTTCTTGTCTGAATTCAGTGGTCTGAATAGCTGTAATTTCTATTATGTGCTAGACTAGTCTGTCAGCATTGTTCTGGTTTCATCTGTCCCCCATGATGATTAATAATGATCCAGTGACACTAAAATAAGCTTTGTCATGTCTTGGATTTGTTTCCTTATGTTTTTGGACTGATTTCTGTAGCGCTAAATGGAGATATTGTTGCTTTAGGAGCTCTTTTTGATTTCTGGAAGCCTGCTGGTATCATCTATTATAATGTTTCACAACTGCATGCGCAAGCTGCAAAGGTAGAGTTAGAAAATAATGTCTAGAAGACGTTTCATGTGTTGTAAATACACCTGATTAAACAGATATGTTTATTATAGTTCTGTTGAGTTTTATATGCAAGAAATCTTTATATTTTCTGTTAACAAGGTTAGTTTTTAGCTTCTAGAATTAAATGGATCAGGATATACAGGAGGAAAGCATCTTTTAAGGTGCCTTGTGATGTCATTTACCAACAGCAAACTCTCCTATTACAGTGAATTAGTCATTGATAAGTAATGGCCAGATAATTTACTCACTCTCTCCATTCTGTTACATAAAACACACACTTTTGGATGGCATTATGCACATCGATTAACCAATCCATGCACAGTATAGCCATATAAAAAATAAACTCAAAAATATTGTTATAATAAATAATATTTATCTGACAGATGAATAATGTAACAAATTACAGTGAATAATAGGTTCTGTAGCAATACAGGCTCCTTTTAAGAATTGTTCTATAATATCTATCTATAATTGTTAATGGAAAGCTAATATATTGCCATAAGTGCACATATAACAAATAAAGTTTAATATGTTTACAGGTTTCAGTGACAAACAAGTCAAACAATGGCTCGGATGTTCAGCCGATGGCCTCAGCTCCTCCAAGTTATGAGGAGGCAACTGCTGGTAATACTACTTTTTCCTTAATGAATTTCCTTTTTAAACTGATCTGCACTTTAAAATTATTATTAAAGGGGTAGTCCATCTAAAAATGAAAATCCTGTTATCATTTATTCCCCTTCATGTAATTTAAAACTGTGTAACAGAAAAGAAGATATTTTGAAGAATGTTGGTAATCAAACAGTTTTGGGTGCCATGAAATACTATGGAAGTTAATGGGTCCGAAAGTGTTTGTTTACCAACATTCTTCAAAAAAATCTTCTTTTATGTTTCACAGTGACAGAACGAATAAATGCATACAGGTTTTGAAGGACACTTGGATTGTTGGGTGGACTAACCCTTTAATTCAGTCAATGCAAATGTATTTTGGACACTATATACTATAGAACACTAATGGCATTCATCACCCATGACAGTCACGGTGGATGTTTTAACTTTTTTTTATTGGAAGGTGGAAGCCCTTGTTATAGTGGAGCTTATCCTGGAGATAGTGAGATGCTCACAGAATTCAGCTGGGATGACCAAAACATCAGGAGGATATTCATCCGCAAGGTATTGTTGCATTCTGTTTAGCAGTTCAGAGCTGCTGTGGACAATATGGAGTGAATTAATGTAATATTATTTCCTGTAGGTGTACACCATCCTGATGCTCCAGCTATCTGTCACATTAGCCTTTGTGGCTGTTTTCATTTTCTGGTGAGTGTATGAGCTGAACAAACGTTCATAATGCATTATTCCTTTTTTAAGCTTGTTTAACAAGTATGTCTTGTTTAACTTGTAGTGAACCTGTGAAATATTACATACAGACCAACCCTGGCTGGTACTGGGCATCATAGTAAGTACACTTTATAATTTTGGGTTGACATTGTAAATGCACATCTTAAAATTCAGTTTGAATATAGACAGCATATAATACAGTAATTCAGTAACAGTGCAAGTTCTTACTTTATGTGTTGCTATGCACTGTTATCCACTGTAAATGTATAATGGCTTTATTGTCTTGTTCTCCCAACAGTGTAGTGTTTTTTGTCACATATCTGACCCTATCCTGCTGCCGTGGACCCCGGTGAGTGTATTTGTAGAGATACAAATGCATATTAATATAATATAATATAATATAATATAATATAATATAATATTGTATAATATTGTAATATATAATATGATATGATATAATATAATTTTTTATTGATATTATCGTATAATTTATAATCTAAAATTATTTTTAATATATATTTTTAGCAATTAACTTCTATTTGAGCAAAATTGGCACATTATATAATATGCGTTCATTTCTATCTTTTCTACTTACAGGAGGTAGTTCCCATGGAATCTGATTCTGCTGATTATTTTTGTGAGTATAAAAACAACCAAAAGAACCTTACGTCTTTGGTTATCAGTCTAGCTATTATTTGACAAATACTAGTATTGATCAAGAACAAGCCTATTTTGACATATAAAAGAAAGTCTTCTTCTATTTAAACATTAATCTCACCTCTTCTGTTCTAGACTCTGTCTCTTTCTTACATGACAGGAATGCTCTCCAGGTAAAGTCTCACATTATATGTGTATTATTATGAATTTTTAACATACACGCAAACAACAAGTGTTAAGCATGTTCTGCATATTTTATGGGTTCATATTCATATTTCCACTTTGTCATACTTGCACAGTATATTGTGTTATGTCACAAAATGAATTCAAGTGAAATATTTTTGCATATAACAAGATGTCAGGTTTTTGATAGGCCTATTTCTTATTTAAATATTTCCCCTCTCTCTAGCTACTACAATACTAAATCTGTCATCATCTGCCTGGGTATTACTGCCTTGGTGTGTCTTGCTATTACTATCTTTAGCTTCCAAACCAAGGTTAGTATTTTTAAAAGCAACAGATATTTTCATTTTTCTTGAATGCAATCATTTTTTAACTGTAATCTGGAGTATATTTATTCTGATCAAATATTTGTGATTTTACAGATTGATATTACTTCATACCAAGGCGTGCTGTTAGTTTTCTGCACAGTATTGTTCATTTGTGGACTTGTCCTGGCAGTCATCCTGCTCTTTGGATATGTAAGTACATATCGTATGTAAGTTAGTAGTTGACTGGTAGATTTATGATTTCTCAGCAGGGTGCTGGATTTTAATATTCACAGAAATAAGAATGTTCTTTCACCAAAGTTCTTCTCTTTTCTCTTTACAGGTTCCATGGTTGCATGCTGTGTACGCTGCCTTGGGAGCAATACTGTTTTGCATGGTACATAATTCTAAAATCATTTAAACTCCGATCAGTATTAACCCCTGTAAAGCCTGACATGTGGTATAATCAGAATCTGTTGTTTTTTTTTTAATGGAACAGTTTTTTGAAACATTTAGACAAGCCTTTTAGAGAAAAAATGTTGAATATGTTTTTTGTTGAGTATCCATTACATTAGGCTTTTATGGCATGATATATTGAGAATATGGAGCTCATACACAAGTTGCTTCAGTCCAGTAAGTGTTCATCTTAATATTACTAACAATATCAAAGTTATTCTTATATTTATAAAAATCTGTAAAGATTTCACAGAAAAAAAAGACATTTACTGAAAGGCATTTTACTTGCTAAAAAAGTATAAACTGTCAATCAGACAAAAGAAGGAATGTTTTTAATTTAGTGTAACAAATATGATAACAGTAGGCTTCATAGGGTTTAACTGTCCGTGCATTTATTTATTTATTTGTTTGAGTAACAGAGTAAAAAGTGGATCATGCACAGTCAGCATATCATTATCGCAAAATAAATCCTGATAAGGTTTTTTAGGACCCCTACACATTATCCCTTGTGTTTGTTAGTAATTATTGTCATTGTATTATTTTAATCTCTCTTTTGTCTTTTAGTTCCTGGCATTTGACACACAGATGCTGATGGGGAAAAAGCAATACACCATAAGTCCTGAGGAATACATCTTTGCCACCCTCAGCATATACCTGGACGTTGTTTACATCTTCTCTTTCTTTCTCCAGTTGTTTGGAACTCCTGAACGGGAGTGAATGTGCTGTTAACCTGAAGCTCCAACGGCTCTTCTTTTGTCTCTCTGATCTGAGTGATCATGCCTTTCCAGCATGATATGGATCTTCAGTGCACGCTGTTTTTTTTTAAGCTCACCTCCGCTTTTACGATGTGCCACACATTTATCCTGTAGCGTGAAGGAGGTCTTGCATATTATACGTTGCTTATGTACACTGGTAAAACTTTAACGACATTCAGCTAGTTTTACAACTGGTGTCATAGAAAACAAAAAAGAAAATAACAAATGCACTGGCGTCAGCTGTCTGTGAAACCTGTCTGATGTCATTAGCAGTGAAAGTGCATGAAATATCAGAGCATCACATTTATCCATCGATGTCTACCTCATTCCTCTTTGTGTCTGACCCTGCAAAAGTTTCATATGTGATATCACAGCATGAGGACATTTTAACTAATCATTCTGAGAAACTAGATATTGGGATGAATATTTTCATAACAAGTTTTTTTGAATAGCTGGCTGGGTTTTAGGAGTGCACCATGAATCAAAGTAGGCCTAACACTTACATTTCTGAGTTAATTTGTACAAATTTGATTGAAATAATCAGTGCTTCCATTTGAATTTACCTTGATATTTCATAGGAATTTTCTATTTTGATTTTTGCTGCCATTGTAAGTCAGCTTGATTGAAATATGCTTTTTGAGCATTTTTTTAGTTTAGGCCTACTATATGTGTTATTAATATAAATACTTTTTTTTTTCATTCCATAGAGGTTTATTAATGTATTATCATAGCACATATCTATTTTTGAAGAAAATGAGTTGTGCATAATTTTGGATGTGTACATAGATTTAGTGTTCACTAAAAGAGTGCAAAATCACTGTAGCTGGATTTAAACAGAATGCAGTGCTACATATTAGAAATATTTCCTGTTTGTGGCCTTTACAGTATAGAGACAGTGTGTGACCAATAAATGGAATTTATTAAAATGTATTGAATATGAAATTATTAAATGACAAGTATGTTTCAGTTGCAAATTGGTAAAAAAGAAAAAAGATGCATTTCCTCTAGGAGGTAATTAGAGTAAATAAATGTGAATGTTCTTGAATTTCTCTGAAAACACAAATATAATCCCTTCTATATCTTTGTGTGCAGGTGTGTTATCATAACATTATAGACAGACAGCACAGTTGTCTCTCTTTTTAATAAAACAAGCTTACATCTCATATATGGGGGGACCTTAAAATTTAATTTATGTCAAAGAGAAAACCAGAATTAATAGACCCGTTTTGTTGTAATTTATTGGGAAAATGTGCATGATGTTTAAAACTCTTTCTGAGATATCGTAATAAATTTGTAGACACGCAATTTTAAGAAAAGATAGAAAGACGGTTGAATGAACGATTCAGCGACTCGCTCATAAAACACAAACATTAATTTATCGCCACCTACTGGCATAACATTGTAACCTGCAGAAAGAACCACTGAACGAATCACTAAATGATTCAAACTATTGAAGTCACTGAGAATAATCAATCCCCTCTACTATAGCAGTGTGTTTAAAGTTAAAGCATATATAAAAGCACTGAAACACTTTGCACTTGATCCCACCATTCCTTTTTTTTTTTTGATCCCACCATTCCTCTTTCAAAACACTGCGTACTTATGACGCTCTTCCGCTCCGCTCATCCAATGGGAGAGTGCGGTTTTAACATGTGGTCTTCGGTAATGTTCTGCTTTTAAATAAGGAAGAAGCGGGAGGCGTTAATGCAACTTTGTGTACTCAATATCTCATTCACAGTATCGCTTACGGCTTCTGAGAAAATCGAGTCAGTTCCACAACAGATACTAACACACGCGCGAAGCTATTTGGAGCCCGCTTCACCTCAGATGTAATTATTGCTGGGCTGGTATCTCGCGTGTTAGCAGCTGGTTAGCTGGTTGAGCTAAAGATCAGCGGTGTGGGTTTATCTGAACTGGTTTAATCGTGTTTAAGTCAAGGATTCAGCTACTTTTATCTAACAAAGCTGGTTAGCAGTGGCATGCGGATGAAGGGCAGAGGGAGCCCGCGTTTGGGACTGCGCTGACAGCCCTAAGGACTTAACGTTACCCGCTATAATCGAGGCTTTCAGTCTTTCATCATGTTTAATACGTTGTACGAATGGATCGGAACCGGAATCGCCAGTCTGCGAAACGGAGCTCCAGCTGGTGGGGTTCATACCGGTTCCTGTGGATCAGGACGGGACATTGTGGATCAGGTGGATCAGGACGGGACATTACGGAGAAAGAGACCACTAGACTGGTAAAAAGATTGTTTATACGTGCACATAACTGTAAGGCGTTTACGTGTAAGTCCAAGAACTGTTCTTTTATTTATTGTTTGGGCTTACAATGAAAGTTTAGGTCTTTAAACTGGTTTTTGATTCGTAATGTTTTGGTTTCGTTCATTAAAGCGCGAACTGTTTTGATTGGATGACGTTAGAAACGCGTGCGCGTCTAGAGCTCCTGATAAACCATTCATTTTCTTTCTTTTTGTTGATTATTTTTCTTTTCTTTTGTCGTTTATTGTAATATAGGAAACTATATTGTTTTCCCGAATATATTTGCGCGTTTGCTGCTTCAATAAAATAACTGAGCAACCTTTAACAAGTTGATGTTATAATATTCTATTCAATTATTTTTGTTTCTTATGAATATATTTTATTTTTATATAAGTATTAATAATGAACAATTGTATTTTTTAAATATTTATTGCACGTTCATTTATAATAAAACACCTGTCTCAATTTTGTATTTTCTTATAGTTTGGAAGATGGAGATTCAGTTGATCAGGAGGAGGAGAAAGTGGTGAAGAAATTCAGAATGGGTAAATAACACCATTCTGAATACATGATAAAACAAATTTATGGCAATTACAATAACATTTTGTTTCTTGTTCTCTAGGGGATATTATGGATACAGTGAAAAATGCAGCCGGAGGAGTGAAGACCCATGGTTCGAGTGTTGCATACTGGGTAAAGAACAGTGTCATACCTAACCCGGGAAACTTGTTGCCAGCATCACCTGGTCCACCTCAAACAGGAATAACATCAGAACCTGCAGCCAATTCTGCTACATCAGCATCTTTGTGGGCGGAAAACAAGGTACTTTTTTGCTCATCAAGATCTTAGTGGGTTTACTTAATTTTCTTGAGATCAGGTATAACAGAAGAGCAAAAGCTGTCGTGCAGTCTAATTCATTTTGTCTGTGCTATACATTTTCTGCTTTTTCGTAAAGTTTGGGGATCAGTCACGTGATATACTTGAGGACACATTTGTAGCTCCATCTAGTTCAGTTGACTGGAGGACTGTCACAAAATCTGGTAAGGGTAAAAATAGTTACATTTTTGTTTTTCTTTCTGCAAATAACATGCTGACATAGTCTTTTTTGTTTTGTTTTGACAGATTCCTTATGGACTGAGGAGTCAGTGACCATATCAAAAGCGAGCAGAAGACAAGTTTGTATGGACCATCCACCCCATGAGACACACAAAGCTAACGGACACTCTGTTAACTTACCCCCTGCCTCCACACAAAAACCTTCCCCCTCTCCCCGCTTGGGCAGATCCTTGTACCACCGACCACACAGGTTCAGTTAAATCTAAACTATTCATAACATTTATGTTAGAAAGAATCAAAATTAAGTAATATGATTTTAGATTTTTGTTAAATTTTTTTGTTGATAGGTAATATTGTTCTGGTTTGAAAGTGTGTAATAAATGCAAGGTAATGAAACTGGAAGGAAATTTGTTTCTGTTGCAGCTTTTTGTCATCTTCTGAGACCAATTCAGGAAAAGCCACTCATACTAGCCTGTATGAGAAGAGCTTTCCAATCCGAGTGGTCCAGAGTCCTTCACATGGCAGCTCAAACAGCCTCCTCCGGGCCAGAGCCCGCTGTACAGCACAGGAGGTTAGACACTCATTGTACTAGTTTGCTTAATAAACCAAATATTTCATGGCATAAAAAATGGTAGAATTACTTCTTTAGACATAGGACTGCACAATAACTTTAAAACTGAGTTCTAATAATCAAATAACAAGGGATACGGTTCAAATAAATAATGTGCAGCAGTATGTTTCAAAGTGAAGAGCAGAACTGTTTTCATTTACATGTTATGTTCATTATGTTCAGCTTATGATATTTTCATTTAATAATAGTAAAAATAATAATGTTATTATTATTGTTGTATAGTCATATTGATATACAATCGTAATTTGGGCCAAATTATGTAGCCCTACAAACAAGTACAGCTAATCTGGATATTGTTTTTTTTGTTGTTGTTTTTTTATTAATTTATCAAATAAATTATGATTCAAATTTTCCCCCAAATTGTGCAGCCCTAGTTAGACTTTGCTTTTACTGTTTTATAGTCGGTGCGTGAGGAAGAAACGGAGGTTTACAAGCAGCTCCTAGCCATGGTGTCTGGTGGCCAGTCGACCTTCCTTCACAATGGAAGTTCTCACTCCAGCATTCGCTCGCATCGAGATTTGTGAGTATCTGTGTCATGCTACTTTAAAATGTGTGTTCTTTATGTCTGTGACAAACCTGAGCTGTTTAAAGGGATAGTTTATCCAAAAATCAAGAGTAAGCGTTAGTTCTGGCAGGTCACGTTAGTCAAGCTCGCATCCGCTGACTCTCGGCTGATCCCCATGTACCTATGGGAATATGACACCTATCTAAGCATTCATATATAAGGTCCCTCAGTATTATCAGCAGTTTTCGTATTGCTCAATAGCTAATTAAATGGCGAATTCAGCAGGCAGAACACCATCATCACTAGGAATCGGGAATTTAGAGAAGTGGAATTCGTTTCCCCAATGGTCTCACCTAACTTGAACACGGGAATTCACCGCATTTATCATAAGCTGACTGATTCGGAAGTGACTGAGTTAGCATTACTTCACGCATCGCTACATTATTGACATGGACTCCACGAGTTATGTGACTGACTCAAGAACAAGTTCAGATGGGAACTTCATCCCCAAGAAGGATATCAAGAGATCAAGCATCCACTTCACAGCTGCTATGTTTCACTCTCTCGAACATCTTCACAAGCTAAGTTCCATTTAATGCTCTCAGGTTATCTGCAACATGCGTGTTGCTAAGGCTATCCGTGTTGCTTAGGCTCATTTAGTTGTTTTCAGCTAGTGCTAGTTTATGCGAATGTGCGGTACTTATCTGTTCGCTGCAGTATGCTGCAATATCGCAGCAATATGCTGCGCTTAACGGGGTCTAATGTAATTTCATGCATTCTGAGTTATTTACACTGTTAAGAGTTGGATACTTATGCGCGTGCACACACTCAGTGACCCAAGCGAGAGAAAGAGCACGCCACTTAACGCGTTTCTTTCATGGTTACGGAAGTCATCGGCAGCGCTGCAGTTACTTGCTCGAGAAGACTAGGTTGTTAGAGAGGAACTACACTAGCTGCCTCCGGCTGGAGAGAGTAGCCGCTTGCAGTCGGGGCAGGAAAAAAAAAAGAGACGTCAAATCGGACACTTCTTCTCCTGGTAATGACGCTCTGGCAGAGTTTGCATACTCTGTCACAGATGAAGTGAATTATATGCAATATTTGTCAAATACACAGACGTTTCAGAAACGTCTTTCATAAAGCAACAGAAACACTTTTATATACTGCTTAATACAGCGCCA